AAGATAAAGTGCGGAAGAAAGGTAAACACAGAAAGCAAAGCAACACAAGATTTGTTTAGCCAGTTCGATACAATGTGTATCTACATCTAGGGGATGATCATCGATGCGTCCAATCCACTAACTCAATTCCAAAGTACAAAGGTGGAGAAGTGCAATCTCACCCGAGTGATCTACACAAGGTAAGTACCCAATCTACCAGGATTTAGTGGATTGTTGAAGACGGAGATCCAAGCATTCAGAGGTCCATGGAATCCATTCAATGGAGATCTGTCTCTGATGCAGTCCTCCACTGTATCCCACAATCGCGTGATCTTTGCGTCCACTGGTTTAAGCTCAGAGTGTTTTTCTCAAGTTCATCTTCTTTAGATCATTATGAATTTCCAGTCTTGAGAAGAGCTTGTAACTAGAGAGAAAGACTTAGAATACCGAGTGTTTTCTTTGATTCAAGAGTGTAGAAATGTTTGTTGGGAAGAAAGCTCGCAAGAATATATAATTAGCAAAATGAAAATAAATAAACGGCACCAAGAAGAACACCAAGAATTTTAACGTGGAAAAACCTCCTCAAGGCAAGGAGTAAAAAACCACGGGCACAAGCCAGTAAACCTTCCACTATATAGATAATGGGTACAAAGAGGAGGCTTCTCTAATTCAACGATTAGAGGCAACACAAAATACAAGAGAAAATAACATACCCCGAGGCACAAGAATTTCTACGAAATCCACCAACTTCTTCTCGGCTAATTTTCTCACACTTGTATATCTCAACAAATTTTCTCTCCTCTCTTCATCTTCTTCTTGAACTCTCTCATATCCAAGGTAGCCAAATCCATGGCCTTTATATAGGCTTTACAAAGCCAACTCTTTTGTCTTTTCATTTGCCCACTTTAATCTCCCATTAAGTGGACATGAATGAAGCCATTAATCAAAAAACCTTTCACTTCATCTTCCAAGCTTAATTGTTAAGCTTTTGGTCACCACCCTACCCACATTGGTGGGACCATCTAGCAACAAACTCCCCCTCACGCCAATGTGGGAGGGACTTGCATCCCTGCAGCTGAATGACATATCTCAAGCTTTTCCCTTGGTAATGACTTTGTTAACATGTCAGACCCATTTTCATCTTTATGGATCTTTACAAGTTGTAACTGGTTCATCTCCAAAACATCTCGTATCCAGTGATATCTTACATCGATATGTTTCGATCTTGAATGGAAAGAGGAATTCTTACCAAGGTGTATAGCACTCTGACTATCACAAAATAACTCATATTTGTCTTGTTTGATCCCGAGTTCTTGAAGAAATTTCTTCATCCATAGCAACTCTTTACAAGCTTCAGTTGCTGCAATAAACTCAGCCTCTGTGGTAGAAAGTGCAACACACTTTTGTAACTTAGACTGCCATGATACTGCTCCCTCTGCAAATGTTATTAGATATCCCGAAGTCGACTTTCTAGAGTCAATGTCACCTGCCATGTTTGCATCTGTGTATCCAACCAACATAGACTTATTAGAACCAAAACATAGGCATAATTTAGAAGTACCTCTAAGATATCTGAAAATCCATTTAACAGCTATCCAATGTTCCTTGCCAGGATTAGAAAGGAACCTATTCACAACTCCAACTGCATGAGCAATATCTGGCCTTGTACATACCATAGCATACATCAAACTGCCAACTGCAGAATTATAAGGGACTTGTTGCATACTTGCCTTTTCTTCCTCTGTAGAAGGACTTTGCTTACTACTTAATTTAAAGTGATTAGCAAGAGGAGAACTAACCGCTTTAGCATTGTCCATGTTAAACCTATAAAGTATTTTCTCAATGTACTTCTCCTGAGACAACCACAACTTTTTGGCGTTCCTGTCTCGTGTAATTCTTATCCCAAGAATCTGTTTTGCTGGCCCCAAGTCTTTCATAGCAAAAGACTTGCTCAACTGTTCCTTTAATTGATTAATTCTAGAAGCACTCTTGCCGAAGATCAACATATCATCGACGTACAACAGAAGCATAATAAAATCATGATCAGAGAATTTCTGAAAGAACACACAATGGTCAGAAGTAGTCTTCATGTAACCTTGTTGCGCCATAACTGACTCAAACTTCTTGTACCATTGCCTTGGTGCCTGTTTTAAGCCATATAGGCTCTTTTTTAGCTTACAGACATAGTCCTCTTTTCCCTTGACTTCAAAACCCTCTGGCTGCTCCATGTATATTTCTTCATCTAAATCACCATGAAGAAAAGCAGTCTTTACATCCATTTGCTCAATTTCTAAATCTAGGCTGGCTGCTAGTCCAAGAACAACACGAATGGAAGACATCTTAACCACTGGAGAAAATATCTCATCAAAGTCAATACCTTTTCTCTGGTTGAATCCCTTGACAACTAGTCTAGCTTTGTACCGTGGCCGTGGAGAGTGTTCTTCCTGCTTTACTCTGTACACCCACTTGTTTGTCAAAGCTCTCTTACCTTTAGGTAGCTTTACTAACTCAAAGGTATTATTCTCATATAAGGATTTCATCTCATCTTTCATGGCTTCAATCCACTTTTCCTTGTGTTCATCCTCCACAGCTTCTGCATAACATTCTGGTTCACCATTATCAACAAAATTAATTTTATAAATATCAGAAGAGTACCTTGTGGAAGGCTGTCTAACTCTTGAACTTCTTCGAAGCTGAGGTGGAGTTGAAGCTTCTGGAACTGGGAGTTCATCATCATTAATGGAAGCATCAGTAACATCTTGCTGCTCAATTTGGTCCTCCTCTCCAACCTCTTCAGGAACCACTGTTGGAGGTACTATCTCAGTATCAACTGAATCACCGTTATGAGATCCCAATTCTTTAACCCGGTCAATATCCTCTATGGTCTGATTCTCCACGAACACAGCATCTTGGCTTCTCACAAGTTTCTTTTCAACCGGATCATAAAATCTGTAGCCAAAGTCATCTAGACCATAGCCAATAAACACACACTGTCGTGTCTTAACATCAAGTTTCGATCTTTCATCTTTCGGAATGTGCACAAATGCTTTGCACCCGAAGACACGTAGATAATCATAGGAAACATCATTTCCTGTCCATACCCGATTTGGTATGTCAAACCTTAAAGGAGCACATGGTGAGAGATTCAACACATGCGCAACAGTACTTAGTGCCTCAGCCCAGAATGTCTTTGGTAACTTTGCATGTGACAACAAGCATCTAACTCTCTCAATCAAAGTCCTGTTCATCCTCTCAGCAACACCATTTAACTGAGGAGTCTTTGGTGGTGTTTTCTTATGGCGAATACCTTGCTCTACGCAATACCTATTGAGTGGCCCAATATACTCTCCTCCATTATCTGACTTTATGCATTTTAGCTTCTTCCCAGTCTGTCTCTCAACTAGGGCATGAAATTGCTTGAATATGTCCACAACTTGACTTTTATGCCTCAAAGAATAAACCCATAATTTCCTTGAGCAGTCATCAATGAAGGTAACAAAATAGCGAGCACCACCAAGTGACCTAGTTTTGAAAGGTCCACACACATCAGAGTGTATCAGTTCCAATACCTCTGGTTTCTTCTTAGTCTCAGCAGAACTTTTAAAGGATACTCGGTTCTGCTTCCCTGCTAGACAATGAGCACACCTCTTCAAATGAACATTGTTCAACCCAGCTAAGCTCTTTTTTTCTGACCAGCATGGACATCCTCTCCTCAGATATATGTGCAAGCCTCTTATGCCATATATCATTCGTATCATCGTTCTCAACCGTATTGACAGTATTTCCTGAGATCTTGGCCTGTAAAACATAAAGTGTAGAACACTTTGTGCCTCGAGCCACAACTAGAGAACCTCTTGTGAGTTTCCATTGGCCATTTTGGAAAGTATTACAATACCCTTCATCATCTAATTTTCCAGCAGAAATTAAATTATACCTGATATCTGGAACATGCTTCACATTTTTCAGAAGCAACTTGGTGCCATTGTTGGTTTCTAACTGAACATTGCCAACACCAACAATCTTTGCATTACCATCATTGCCCATTTTCACAACTCCAAAATCACCTGTTGCATAACTAACAAAAAAATCCTTTCGAGCTATAGCATGAATGGATGCACCACTATCAATTACCCAGTTTGTATCATGACTTGCCAAATTAATGGCATCTGTGTCACCATCATAGAAGATAAGAAAATCATGTTCAACTGTAGCAGCTACATGACTATCATCATCACTACCATTATTCTTTTCAGAGTCTTTATTTTTCTGATTTTCTTTCTTCCGTAGTCGGTAAAATTTCTTAATATGCCCTTTTTTGTGACAATGATAACATTCAACATTAGCAAATTTATTAGATTTACCTCTACTGTTATCTCTGTTTTTATCTTTACTCCTTGGACCCTTGCTTTGACTTCTCCCCCTATTTGTTGTAGCCAAGACCTCTGAATGTTGAGAGGAAGTACCTTGTGACCTTCGTCTCATCTCTTCATTCAGGACACCACTTTTAACAAGTTCCATTGTTACAACACCGTTAGGAGCAGAATTAGTCAAAGAAATCTGTAAAGTTTCCCAAGAATCTGGCAATGATGCTAGTACCATAAGAGCAAGGACCTCATCATCAAAATTAACTCCCATACCTGACAATTGATCAACAATCCCTTGAAATTCATTCAAGTGATCCGCAATAGAACTACCCTCGTTAAATCTCAACTGCACCAATTTTGTGAGATAAAACAATTTGTTGTTGCCAGTCTTTGAAGCATATAAATCTTCAAGTTTACTCCACAGTGTCCTTGCGTGGGTTTCACTAAAAATATGATTATACACATTATCTTCAACAAATTGCCGAATAAAACCACATACTTGTTCATGCTCAAAGGCCCACTCTTCATCTGATTTATTTTCAGGTTTCTGGGTAGCAAACACGGGTAAATGCAACTTCATCACATATAGTAGATCTTTTATCTTATTTCTCCATATGTGATAATTTGTGCCATTCAAACTTGCAATTCTATTGAACTTTCCTTCCATAGCTTCGCACTTGAACAAGGCTCTGATACCAGTTGTTGGGAAGAAAGCTCGCAAGAATATATAATTAGCAAAATGAAAATAAATAAACGGCACCAAGAAGAACACCAAGAATTTTAACGTGGAAAAACCTCCTCAAGGCAAGGAGTAAAAAACCACGGGCACAAGCCAGTAAACCTTCCACTATATAGATAATGGGTACAACAGAGGAGGCTTCTCTAATTCAACGATTAGAGGCAACACAAAATACAAGAGAAAATAACATACCCCGAGGCACAAGAATTTCTACGAAATCCACCAACTTCTTCTCGGCTAATTTTCTCACACTTGTATATCTCAACAAATTTTCTCTCCTCTCTTCATCTTCTTCTTGAACTCTCTCATATCCAAGGTAGCCAAATCCATGGCCTTTATATAGGCTTTACAAAGCCAACTCTTTTGTCTTTTCATTTGCCCACTTTAATCTCCCATTAAGTGGACATGAATGAAGCCATTAATCAAAAAACCTTTCACTTCATCTTCCAAGCTTAATTGTTAAGCTTTTGGTCACCACCCTACCCACATTGGTGGGACCATCTAGCAACAATGTTGATTAGCCTTCTTTGAATTAGCACTTGGTATTTATATCTCTGGTTGAGGAAGGTATCCGTAATCAGAATCAACAGGCCGCTTTTTAGATAGATTACGTAGATACCCTCTGAGGTGTCCAAAAGGAAAAGGACTTTCTTGTAAAACACTTCAAGCCTTAACGGCCTTTCTGCCAGCGCATACGCTCCTTAGAAAAACAGTCTTCTAACAGCTTCAAGTCTTCGTAGATGGTTATGATAGATTCCCTGATCAATCAGGTTTTCAATCTTCGAACTTCAGACTGACTTTAACTTAGCCTAGTCTAGTTTGCCATAATAATAAAGCTAATTACATATGTGGGGTTTAACTACCTAATCAAAACACTAACAACATTGAGAAAGGCTTATTCCCAGTTAAATATTATCCATCACTAAGTCAATTAAATCTTACTCTTGATCTCGATTTTGTTACATTTCCTAGACTTAATCCAAGTTCCTATTCCCCTATGCCATTCCTTTACTTGTTTTTTCATTTCATTTGTTAGTTTTTTTCACTACATGCATCAATTTATGTTTGTCGATATTTCCATAAGAAGATATATTACCTTGTGCTTGAGAACTCATAAGCTTGACTCTAGCTTATTGCCAATCCTTTAAGAACAATATCTGGTGTGAAGATACCCTCTCACACAAAACTCACCATGCAAAAATACTCTTCATCAATTTCTTTACTCTAAGATGTCTCTTTCTGTTTCCTTTCCTTTCGGCGAGATTTCTTTTGATATGCCTGCTTCTTTCGGTAGAGATGTAAATTAAAAATAACTTATAAGTAAGTTTGAGGGGTCTACAAGGACTATATATTTTACTTAGCATCATCAAAATCTATAAACAATTATTCCTAATTAACAACTCTCCAACAGTCTGTTCGGTGGATTATGCTATATATGCTAGCTAGAAATAGAATTTGATTTTAAAATGACTTTCCCTTCTACTCAAACCTGCCATACCTCAAACTAACAACTTTAAACCATCAAAATGGATCATTTATCCGATATAACCTATCTACCACCGAAGTTCTTTTCGGTGGATTGTGCTATATACTTTAGCCAAGTATAGAATTCAGTTAGAAAATAGCTTCCCCTTCAAACTCAAAACTTGCACAGCTAATCGAAACAAATTTAAACTGTTAAAAAAATCATTTATCTATGGTAACCCATTAATCGCCTATGGTTTTTCCAATCTGTCGTGGTATATACGCTAGCTAGGTATGGAATTCAATTTTGAAATGGTTTCCCCTTCTTACTCAGATCTGCCACACCTAAACCAAATCAATTGAAGCCGCCGTTAAAAATCATCATTTATGTAGGATAACTATACTCCATCTTGTCTTTCCGGTGGATTGTGCTATATAAGCTACATTGATATAGAATTCAATTTGAAAATGTCTACCTTCTCATAGCTGTGTTATCTTGTCACTTTTCAAAATTTAGAATTGCTTTTCTGAGTTTTCTTTGTTTCCCTTTTTTTATGCCATAAAGTTCGTTGCCATTTTTTGTCATGCTTAAACCTAGTAGCTATAAATAGGTGCAATAGCAAATGGTGTGAGGCAAACAAAAGAAAAACAATCACTAAGATCTGAGGAGGGAGAGAGAGTGAAAGAGAGAGAGAGAGAGAAAAACAAAAAGAAAGAACAATCACTTAGATTTGAGGAGAGAGAGAACGCGAAATGGGTAGAAATATAACATACGACTTGAAGCACATACTCTCTGGTTTCCTGACTGCTTCCATGCTGCTGATGTTATGCAATATGATCAAGACAGATCATATTGACCCACTTTTGGTATTTTAATCTTTCACTCAATTTATTTTACATTACTTTTCATGTATACAATAGTGGTATAATATATATATATTGGTTCCTTTGAGAACAGGTTTTCCCGTGCGGTCAGTGCATCATACACCATTAAATATGCATAAATGCACCATACAATGTTCGAGAATACACTAGAATGAAATGCCAAAAAATGCACCACACAAAAAAAAAAAAAAATACACCACACATAATGGTGTATTTTCAAACACTGTGTGGTGCATTTATGCATACCTAATGGTGTATGCCGCACTGACCGCACGGGAAGACATGGTATATATATATATATATATATATATATATATATATATCAAGTTTTTTGTTTTGTTTTGTTTTTTGTTTTTTTGTTTTTTGTTTTTTTTTTTTTGTTTTTTGTTTTGCTACCATATTAAATTTATTTTAATACATACATATGTATTTCAATGTACACATTTATCTACTTTGTGTAACTTATTGTTTTTGACTTATACCTGGCTAGTTGATTTGATATCTCAAAAGTATTCTGTTAAATTTGTCCTTAAAAGTGTCAATTTTGTACAATTTATTTTGGGCTCTTGTCATAATAGTTTTAATTAGTCTTCATTAACTTATTCCTTTTCTGTTTGTGGTATAAACCAAAATGATAAATAGTATTTTAGGAAAAATATATTCTAATAAAAAGAATTTTTTCATTTTTCAAATTTGATTAATTAGTTGAATTTTGCTGTAACTGTTCTTTGTAATATATTTCTTTTATAAAAAAATTAACTTTTTCATAATACCTTTAATTTTAACATTAGCCAAGATGACAAGAGATTCATACTTGTAACCACAAGGTCACAGGTTTATATTTTTGCCCGTTGGTTTAGCTGGTCAGCTATGAGTAACCTTTTTTTTTTGAATGCCAGCTATGAGTAACCTAATTAAGCTAATATACTTCCTTGTATTCATTTGACGGCTAGGGTCACAAAACGGAGTTTACCTACACCCAAAAAGGACCAAATAAACTAATAGCCCATGCATAAAAAAAAAATGCTATTCTCTGTTTAAAGAACATATAGTATAAAAATTGAAATATGACTAAAGTAAGAAAAAAATTGAGCTACAATATCTTAAATGCTGTTTGAATTTTCTTGTTTCGTTATTTTCATTTCCATTTTTGTGGTTAAAAGACCTATAAATATTTGTTCTTTGTATATTTAATGATAGGGCAATTTCTCAATACAACCCATCACTCCAAACAATGGGACAAAATCTTCTTCTGGTAAACGATTCCTTACCTCATCCGATCCTTGGGGACTAAACAAAACTAAAGAAGTATTAAATCCTTGTTGGAGAAAATCAACAAATTGTAAGTACTTGGAAATTTTTTATTTTTAATTTAAAAAGTTAAATAATATATGTTTTACTTTTTGACGAATTACTAACATTTTTATCTATCAATTATGATGAAATTTCGACTTTTAACTCTTCACTCTAAATTTTTCACAACTTTGAGAATTTCACCAAACTTTACCTATCCACAAGGGTAATGTAGATATTTCAGGTTGAATTTAGTTGAATCAAAAGTCAAAAGGTGAAATAAATTTGGTCCAACAAATAGTCAATTATGAAAAATATAAATGTGGAAAGAATGAAAAATATAAATGTAATTATAATTGATGAAAATAAATAGTATTAACTTTCGTTATTTAATTTCTTCATTTCTTTTCAGCGAAACCACAAGAATCAAGAGGTTTAATATTTGTCACATTGGCACAAGACCCTGAGTATTATGTCTCACAGGTTTTGTCTTTTTTTTTTTTTTTTTTTTTTTTTTTTTTTTTTTTAACATATATATAATCAATTAGAGATTGAACATCAAACTTTTATTAAAGTAGTAGACTAACAAACTTTTTAATGCAAACATTTTATATTTAATCTATTGTTTAATTCCCCATGGATTAGATTGCTACAGCCGTTGTTGTTGCTAAATACCTTGGAGCTACTCTAGTCATTCCAAACATAAGACAATCTGAATCGGGGCAAAAAAGGTTAGTCACATTTAATTTGTACAAATTAAATTTTGTTTCTAACTTAGTGGTCGCCTTCCGCCGGGGAAGGCAGCCAGTTGGTCACCTTCTGTCGGACAAGGCGACCAACTGGTCTCCTTCTATGGTAGATGGCACCGTCGCCGGTCGGTGGATATGATGTTTGAACTGAAATGATTTGTAATAGCAGTTCATTTATTGATTATTGGGCTCATTGTCTCAATTTAACATGTTAAAGGGTGTAATTTCACTTTTTAAAACTTCAGGGAACTAATTGACTTTTCAGATAAAGTTTATAGGTTTATTTGACCCTTTTTTTTCCCTTTAATTTGATAAGTTGTGTTTAAATTTATGAATACCTAAAACCAATTTCAGGAAGTTTGGTGAAATCTATGATTTGGAGAAATTCACTGCAAGCCTAGACGAAAAAGTGGCTACACAAGCTATGGATTCACAATTTGCAGAAACATCTAATCAAAGGGTTACCACAGTGAGGGTGCCTAACATGGTTTCCAAAGAATTCGTAAAGTCCAACATTGAGCCAATATTCAAAACCACAAGAAACCTAAGGCTTTTTGTTTACTTCCCATCATCTATGAAGCAGAAAAGGATGAACCCATACGCCTGTTTGGGTATGTTTGACACCCTGATGTTGAGACCAGAGTTGCAGGAATCCATAGACTCCATGATTGGAACACTGAAAACCCTCAACCCCAATTCAGAAGGACGATTCGTCGCGGTGGACTATAAGGCTGTTGAAGCCATGCAACCAGGAAGTAGCAGTTTTGATGCAAATGAGATAGCTTCTTTTATGAAGAAGATTGGTTTTGAAAACAAAACAACTGTTTATTTGACTCTAAATGGCTGGCACACAAGCATTGAGCATTTCAGAAACGTATTTCCCAACACCTTCACCAAGGTATGTATGTGAAATTTATGGTTTTGATTTTACTCCCATAATCAACCTTAGCTTAATTCGATTATATTGTTTTAATTTGTTGCAATCAATATAGGATGCAATCATTCCAGCAGATGAGAAGTCCAAGTTTCTGGATCCTGGAAGGCCAGAATTGAAGCAAATTATAGACTTCTATGTATCTTCTGCAGCTGATGTTTATGTACCAACATCGTCAAATGTATTTTCTGACAATGTGATTGCAAGGAGAATCGGCAGTGGGAAAACGCAAGTTCTTGTGCCCACCAACAGATCTTCACTTTCTGCAGAAGACTATATTCCTCCTTACATATCCAAGAGCAAGCATTGGGCGTATTCATGCTTTTGTTCATAAAATCATAAATCAAATGAAGGATGGAGGGGGGAATGAATAAATCAAGATTGGTTGAAGTTTCGCATACTATTGCGCCTTAGCTTGTAAACCAATCAAAAGTGTAATAAATGTTTTACTTGGGGAAGTGTTTATACCAAAGTTTATTATTATTATTATTATTATTATTTTTTAAAGATGTGTTATTCAGAATAAATATGTATAATAATAAACGAACTCTTATATTGAGTGAGAGCATCCCTAATAATAGGCAAGCTTTGGTAGTTTTTGTCAAGAACGGAAAGAGAAAGAAGAGGAAAAAAGAAGAAAAGCAAAAAAAAAAAAAAAAAAAAAAGAGCAAATGATTCCGGGCGCCGGTCGTGCAGGAGATGTGCTACTGCACACACGCAGGACTTAGTGTATGTCTTAATTTTGCCTTTTTTCTCTCTCTCCTCTGGGCCCACAAAAAACCACCTTTGCAGGAGAAAAAACCCCAAAAAATCACCCCTTCCATTTGTTAAAAATTAGCCCATTGATTTGTGACGGTTCAAAAACCATCAAAAGTGCATTGTTTAACAAAGTGTAAAATCGAAATTAAGGGGGGTAAATCAAACAAAAGAGCACAGAATGTTAAATAATTTATGGAGATATTGAAGCTAGGCGATTACCTAGAGGAAGCGAAACTTTGATGGTGTAGCTTTAGTGATATCGATGAGAAAGAGGAAAGGGAGGGAAGCTCAGGAAAAATAAATGAATACTTTTATGGCGTTTTGGGAAATGCGAGAAAGAATAAAAAAAAACCCTAGTAATCTAGTATGAACAAAATAAAAATAAAATAAAATAAAATAAAGACAGACCTGCTCACCGCGGTTGACTTGAAGTCCTCGTCGATGCTGCTCTCGTCGGCGGTGGATGCGATTCCGGCGGAGAAGACAGATCCGAGATCTATTTTAAGGAAAAAGCAAAAGAAAGAAAAATATATCGTTACTTTTGAGCCATTGAGACAGATCTGAAGGCAGAGCGTTGTTGCCATCATCCCCAGGCCGCGGCGGAGCTTTTGGAGAGCGTTTGAGCGGTTGACGACCTCCGTCGCAATGAAACCGTCGCGTCAGAGCGTTTGAGCGGTAGTCTTGGACGGGAGGGAATTAGGGAGAGTCTTTGACACTTCAACTGAGAAAAAAGAAGAGATGGTTAAAATATTTAAATTTCAGTCTAATATGTTGTTGGACAGAAATTAAAATACTTACCATTTTTAATTTCTACCTATTAGTCAATTTGAGTTTACCAACCAACACTACAGGTTGGATAGAATTTTTTTCCAACACTGGATGTTGGACGTGATTTCTGTCCAACACTCCTGTAAACGCGAAAAACTTGAATTGTATATATTCAAAATTCAAAGTATCGGTTACAAGTAGTATCAAGTATATATCAAACGGGAAAGGGTACAATCTCTGTATAGGAGAAGTCCTCTGATTCTCTACTAGAAGTATGTCTATTAGAAGTATGCCGAATTTGGAATATGCCAAATTGAAGTGTGCCGAGTTCAGAGTATGCTTAACTTGTAGTATGCCGAGTTCGGGAGTATGGCCGAACTGGAAGTATGCCGAGTTCCTTGTTGGAAGTGTGCTGAGTTCAGAGTATGCTGAACTGGAGGTATGTCGAGTTCAGAGTATGCTGAACTGGAAGTATGTCGAGTTCAGAGTATGTTGAACTGAAGGTATGCCGAGTACGGGAGTGTGCCGAACTGGAAGTATGTCGAGTTCGAGAGTATGCCGAACTAGAAGTATTTCCTTGCAGAAGAGCCTCCGAAGTTAGTAGCTTGTTCCTTAATGAAGGGCTAATATGCAGCTTGATCTTCAAATAAGGGCTTCCGGTGTTCAAAAAGCGTGTTCCTCAGCGCAGTATACGCAGTTGCGTGTTCCAGACGATATCCTGGCGAGATTTCGGCAGAGCTTCGGTATGCAGATTTCCGGAGCTCCAATTCTTGAAAATGAAACCACTATTTATAGTGGGAGGGTGAGGGAAAATCTCCAACTAACTCTTAATTCCTTATTTAATTTAATTTCTTTAATTAAATTAAGGAATGTATCGAGACACCATTGCGTCCAGGTTCATGATTTCATTAAATTTTCAAATAATATCAAATATTTCAATTTCTTCAAAATTATATAATCCACATATAATTTTAGTGGGCCAAGACCAAGTCAAACCCGCTATATGCAACCCAATTAATCCAAGCAGCCTGGTCCGACTTAATCAAATATTCCACCAACTTAGGCCGAACAATCCAACATTCAAGGCAAATTATTGTGTAGACCATGGTCCACACAATGTTATGTAGACCATAACAAAAAGTACATTTTTAATATACTAAATGTACATTATTTTTGTACTGAATGTATATTATACAATATAAGTTGGTCCTTCAAGTTTCAAAAATGACCTACAATAGTCTTGTCGTTAGTATTTCCCGTCTGAGCCGTGAAATGTGAGAGCATTTTAGACCTTTCAAAATTTTCTCACCCAAGTTGGGCGAGAAAATTGTGAAAGGTCTAAAATGCCCTTCGCATTTCACGGCTCAGACGGGAAATACTAACGACAGGACTATTGTAGGTCATTTTTGAAACTTGAAGGACCAAAAATGATTAATTTGAAAGTTTAGGACCATAGGTGGTGGAACCACTATACTCGAGGGACCTTGGCTGGTATTAACTCTTTCTAATCACTATCTATTCTTCATTCTCTCTCAAGGGTTTCCTTGGGGAGAAACTTCTGAAACATCATTGCTTCTTGTAATTGCTCTAGATTTAGTGAAGATTTAAAGTGATTTCCAGCTTGTAACTCCATATTACTTTCCTTTCAAGTTGTATTCTCAATTTCACAAGTGATCAAAGCTAAGTTCTTTTTTACTTACTCTTCATTTACTTCAATTCAATTTGTGCTTGCAATGCCTTCAATTTCCCTTTGTTTTTGCTTTTCAATTCACAACACGATTAGGTAGACCTTATTAGGGATTTTGATTTAGTTATCTCTTGTTATGAATGCTTGAGTGAATTCAATTGAAAAAAGGATGATTTAATGAATTAGTTAGCTAGAGTTCTTGTTGAGATGAGTAAGTATTTTGTATGGACTCCTGTATAATTAGGACCTAATTACACAAGAAGATCATGGATGTGTGTTGGTGCTATGAAAATGAGGCAACACTATAGCCACAATACTCACATTTCCAATCTTGATTTGAGAAAAAGAGGTTGGAAGAAGATGTGAACATTATGTCTTTGATAAATTATTCCAATTAGATTGAATTGCACTGAGAATGAGATTCAATGCTAATTGGTAGTCCAAAATGGTCATGAGAATGACATTGACACTTAGTAACATCTTCCTTGATCCTTGATTAAATCCTTGCATGATCCCTATCATAGACAACTCTTTGGCGTCTAGGCAAGAGTGGCTTAGTCAAAGCTTCCACTTTTAGCTTGTTATTTTTTTTTTTTTACTTGTTACTTTCTACTTCATTGTATTGATCTTGTATGACTCACAAACCTACCACTCGAGCTAGATTATAAACACTCGATACTTTTGTGATTAACCACCAACTATTCAACACCCTTCTGATCAACTTCTCGTGACGATATTCGCTGTGAGGATACCCTCTCATACACACCAAACCTACCATTAAAACCAACCTATCACTACTATTCGGGGATATCTACTGATTTTCAAAGTTTATTATATTATAGTCTTTTAACGAGAACATAAAATATTAAAATAAAAACATTTCCAAAATAATTTATCATCTAAAGTATGAATCAAAATAAGATTAGTTCTTCTCAATAAACTACCAAATAACCAACATTCTTGATCAAAGATAACAACAACAACAACAATAACAATAACAACAACAACAACAAGCTAAGAAAATTCGTGCGAAATATATTCCAAAATATTATTTATGCTTACAGTAGGCATGTCTAAGCATATAAATTCAATCATTTAGTACATAATTATTCAACAGTATTCCGGTGGATTGGCAATATATGCTAGCTAGGAAGAGAATTTGTGTGACACCCCGAAATCCAAATTCGGTTAAGGGATTAATTAAGTAATTAATCCTATTTCAATTTGTAATTTAATTCCTTAAATTCCTGAAATTCAATAGTCGGGGACTAGTAATTGACTAGTCAACCCCAAAGTCAAAGTTGTACCTTGAGCTTTGTAAGGAGTTCCCTTGTTCCTTACACATTTCCATGTTAGTAAGGGTATTCTTGACCTTTCACCTTGTGTTAGTATTGTAACCTAACCTAGTAAGAACATCCTCATTTCTATCCTTTCACTTTCCAAAATCCTAGCTCCAGCTTCTCTCTAAAAAGGTGGATAGCTTTTCTTCCAACCCAAGTTGAAGCTTTGCCAAGACTTCAAGAGTTGTCTCCAAGATTCTACCTTTCATACATTTGGGTATCTAGGAGGGTAAGATCCATGTTCATCTTGTGTTTTTAGTGTCTTCTTAGATGTCTTTTCTTAAAGATAGAATCTTTATGATATTTTGGTATGATCTTGAAGTGGGTTTGGAAGGTGGGCTTTGATAGGAGCTTGGTGTGGTGTTAAGTGAAGGTTTTTGGTCTACAAGAGGTAACCCATGCTCTACAAATCTATTTTGCTTACCTATGTGAATATTTCTTGGATTCTACATGTGTTTTGCTATGAAATGTGAGTGTTTATGCATTGTCTTGTGAAAATGCATATTTAGAGCTTGTGTTTAGGGTTCATGTGTGCCATTGCTTGGCTATTCCTTTGATTCAATTCATTTTGTTGTATTTGGTGAGATTTGGCATGTTTTGGACTTGAATTTGAGTTTGGAGATGAAAATCCCCGAAGGGATTTATTTTGGTACAGGTGTGTACCCGCGGGCGGAACGGCGGGTAGGTGTCCACTCGTCGCCCACCCGCGGGGTACAGGCTGTTTGTGGGTATGTACCCGCGGGCAGAACCACGGGTAGGGGTCTACCCGTGGGTCCACCCGCGGGGTACAGTATATGGTTGTTCAGGGATTTGTTCCCCGTGATCCTTTTGACTCGGTATTTGGTCTTTTGACTTCCCGATATTCTTTCGTGGAACTATTTGAGTGTCTTCTTGAGGTTTCGTATGTCTAGAAGTATATGGTAGGAATCCATGTAGGTTTTGGTGTCTTGAATCGTGCTAAGTGTTCAACATTGTGTTTCGTTGAACCGTGATGAGTCTTGTGTGTTCTTCGGAACTACGTTTGGTTTACCCGTTTGATAAACATGCTAGTTCGGTGTTTAAATGCTAGCTTGTGTGTTGTTCGTACCTTCCTATTGTTGATGATAACTTGTGTTATTCATCGTTGTTGTTGTTGGGCTGTGACCCATTCCTTGATTGAGTATGGTTTCATATCTTCGTTGTGATCCGTTGATTGATTCCTGTTGTGGTGTGATGTGCGTGTGGCTTTACTTGGATTGCACGATTAGTGGTATGAGACACTAGTCACCAAGGTATTGCAGTGGTCCTCGTGGTGGCCATGACGCGATTATGGAGTTTGTGACCTGAGTGGCATGTGTTGCCGTGTGTGTGATCGGTACCCTCGTGTACTATGAAATTGGTGGTTTTGTTGGTGGTTTGTTGGTGGGGGACGACGGTCTCAGGAGGGAAAAGGTTGGACTAAGAAGTACAGGGGTCCTGGAAGTAATGGTTGGAAGAAGATATAAGGTTGGGGGTAGCCATAAGGTTGGAACCGGGCATAAGGAAGGCATATCAACTCGTGATGGGTGATGTCATGAGGGCTTTTGTAGCCGTTGTTGTGAGTTCTCTTCTTGTGACGTGTGTAGTCACAAAGGCATGTGTTGCCGTTTGTTGTGTCTTTATTCCTTTGAGTTATGCATGTCGGGTATGAATCTATTGTGTGATGATAGATTATACCTTGAGACTTCTTGATAGTCGTTGTTGTTCCTTGTAGTCTTGGGATGTGTTCCCGTGTTCTTGTTGAGAGTGTTGAGTCTTGTGTTGACTATTACTCTTGGTTTTGGACTTATGTATATACGTATTCCGTTTCGCAAATGATTTTACAAATGTATATCTTACCTATGTATGATATTTCACATGTATTGGTGGGTTACCAGCATTATTCGCTGACCGGGCGTCGTCCCATGTTTTATATGCTTCTTTCAGGTGATGATTAGACGAGTGCGCGGTCTAGTGCCAGCTAGTATAGCTCCCCTTTTATGTTTTGTGGCCTGTGAGCCAATCTAGACTTAGTACTCTGTTGGATGGTTGTAGATTTTAAACAATGCAGATTTAGCCTGTGTGTTCACCCTTGGGTGAGCGTGGCATAGCACCCCGTTTCCTCGTTTTATATATATACCTTCTCTTTCAGTCTTCCGCTGTGTTTGGTATTTTGGTTTAAGTTATCTGCATGTTTTAAGGCTTTAAATAGCATGGTTTTAGGGGGTGTTACAATTTGATTTTAAAATGACTTTCCCTTCTTACTCACAGCTACCACACCTTTATCCAAGATAATCAATTTGCCGCCAAATACCTTTCGATGGATTGTGCTATTTACACTAGCTAGGTATAGAATTCAATTTGAAAATGGTTTCCCCTTCTAACTCAAAATTGGCACACCTAATCCAAACAATTTAAACCGTCAAAAAATTATTTATATGATAACTCATTTGTCACCTATGGTCTTTCCAATAGATTGTGTTATATATATACACTAGCAAGGTATAGATTTCGATTTGGAAATGCTTTCCCCTTCTTACTCAAAACTACCACACCTAAACCAAACTAATTGAAGCAATCAAACCAAATCATCGTTGATGTATGATAACCCATACTCCATCTAGTCTTTCCGGTGAATTGTATTGTATACGCTAGGTAGGTATAGAATTCGATTTGAAAATGTCTACCTACTCAAAGCTGTATTATTTTGTAACTTTCTAAAATTTAGAACTGCTTTTCTGAGTTGTCTTTGCTTCCCCTTTTTATGCCCGAAAGTTCATCACCATATTTTGTCATGCCTGAACCTAGTAATGATAAATAGCAGCAAGAATAAATGGTGTGAGATAAACAAAAAGAAATACCGATTGCTAAGATCTGAAAAGAGAGAGAGAAGGAGAAACTGTGTAGAAATATGGCATATGACTTGAGGCACATACTTTCCGGCTTTCTGACAGCCTCAATGCTCCTCATGTTGTGTAATATGATCAAGAAAGATCTTATTGAGCCACCGTTGGTATACATTTTAATTTTTCACTCAATTTATTTTTTCATTAATATTCTTCTATACAATAGCGGTATAATGTATTAAGTTTTTTATTTTTATATTTTTATTTACCATATCATTTTTATTTTATTACATTCATACATGTATTTCCATATACACATTTATCAATGTTGTGCAACTTCTTGTTTTTGACTTATACATGGCTAGTTGATTTGATCTCTCAAAAGTAATGTCTATTAAAATGGTCCTTAGAGATGTAAATTTTGTACAATTTACTATGGGCTCTTATCATAATCATAGGAAAATATATTCTAATAAAATGAATTTTTTTGTCTTTCCATTTTTATTAATTAGTTGATTTTTTCAGTAACTGGTCGTGGGTTACAAATGTGTGCATAACTAAGCAAGTAAAAGGTAATATTTTTCGGAGTTAATTACCAAAATGTCCCTTGATTATAACGAAATTACCAATTTAGTTTTTAACTATTTTTTTAACCAATTAAGTCCCTCAACTTTAAAATCTGTAACCAATTTGGTCCTCCGTTTATTTGACTCTTAGTCAACCGTTAACTTGGGACCAAATTGATAATTTCGCTATAGTCAAGAACATTTTTTGATAATTAACTCTATTTATCGTTTATAAAAAAATCATCTTTTTTCATATAATTCCTAGCTATAATCTTAATATATTTAAAGATAAGAGAAAATAGTGGTTGACAAATAAATAAATAAATAAAATTGAACAAAGAATCAAAATCACACAAAAATGACAGATAGGTCTAGTTTTGTAAATTTCAATTACTGAGGACCAAATCAACTAACAGTTAACAATCCATACATCAAAAATTAAAAATGCTATTGTCTGAGTAAATAATATATAATTTAAAAATTGAAATGTGAGTAAAATAAGAAAAAAATTTGAGCTACAACATATTAAATGCTGTTTGAATTTTCTTGTTTCATTATTTTTCATTTCCATTTTTGTGGTTAAAATACCTATAAATATATGTTGTTTGTATATTTATTGATAGGGTGATTTCTCAATACAACCCATCACTCCAATCAATGTGATAAAATCTTCTTCTGGTAATGGACGACTTCGTACCTCATCCGACCCTTGGGGAGTAAACAAAAGTATAGAAGTATTAAACCCTTGCTGGAGAAAATCAACAAATTGTAAGTACTTGGAAATAATTATGTATGTTAATTATATATATTTTTTGAAAGTCAAAAATTGATGGTAATTACTGTATAAGATCAAAAATAAAGTCAGTTTGGACAGAGTCCCAATACAACGTGTTAGCCTGTGAATAGGCCATCGAAACTAGACTGTGAGCTAGTACTTGGAAATATTTATGTATGTTAATTATATATTTAATCCTCAATCAACTTCATATACATTCCTAGCTAGTATGTATATATTATTTGTAATTAAAGAATACATGTTTTCGTTTAAAAAAAAAAAAGAATATATGTTTTGTTTTATGATGAATTACTAACAATTTTTTTTTTTTATCTATCAATTATGATGATCGAAATTTCAACTTTTAGCCCTTCACTATGTATTTATCAAAACATAATAGGTTTACTTTTCAAATTAAGCACAATTAATTCAAAACATTTGAATTTTCAAAAAAAAAAAATAAAATTCAAAACATTTGAAATATTCTCAGTTTTGAACGTTATTTCACCGAACTTTACCTATCTACAAATGTCAAAAAATCAAATAAATTTGGTCATATTAATAGTTAATGATGAAATGTGTAAATGTAATTATGATTATAATTGATGATGAACAAATAATAGTATTAACTTTTACATTAATTTTTTTTTATTATAATTGTATTTTGATTTTCTTATTTATTTTCTTCATTTCTTTTCAGCAAAACCACAAGAATCAGAAGGTTTTGTATTTGTCACATTGGCTCAGGACCCTGACTATCATATCTCACAGGTTTGTCTTTTTAATTTTAAGTATATTTAATGACATAGGAATTGAATGTTAAACTGTTATTTAAGTAGTAGACTAAGAAACTTTTAATGCAAACATTTTCTTCTCTTGAGTATCATATCTGTCACTTTGGGCATAACCCCTACATTGTCGCCGCCGATATTCGAACTTTGTTCTTTCTCTTAAATACTGCCTAATGAACCATTGAACTAAACTCGTACGGCCTTAATGCAAACATTTTCTATGTAACTATGAGGTGCACAATATGATTTATTGCTTAATTTCTCCATGTATTAGATTGCTACTGCCATTGTTGTTGCTAAATACCTTGGAGCTGCTCTAGTCATTCCAAACCTAAGACAATCTGAATCGGGGCAAAAAAGGTTAGTCACGATAGATATACAATTTGAGTTTACTATTGTAATTTAAGCCTTGTTTGGTAACATAATTAGTTTATTAGTCAATTTTGGCTTATTTAATCACTATATATTAGTTGTTTGACTTGGCTAAACAATCAATATGAGTGTTGGATTAATTAGCTTTTTGTAATAGTTTATCTCTCCAAAATGTTAAAATTCAAATAAGTTTTGCATATAATCAGCTATCAACTAATTTACCAAACACTTTTTTTTTTAATCAGTTAATGCTATCATCTAGTCAAAATCATATTAATCCAATTAGCTAACTACTATTTACCACTCCTAATTTAACTTGTTCATGCTGTATCTGTTATATATATCAATGCCTAAACCCAATTTCAGGATGTTTGGAGAAATCTATGATTTGGAAAAATTCACTGAAAGCCTAGATGAGAAAGTGCCACAGGCTATGGATTCACAATTGGCAGAAATATCTAATCAAAGGGTTACCACAGTGAAGGTGCCTAACATGGTTTCCCAAGAATTCATCAAGTCAAACATTGAGCCAATATTCAAAAGCACAAGAAATCTAAGGCTTTCTATTTACTTCCCATCATCAACTAAGGAGCAAATAACAATGAATCCATATGGATGTTTGGGTACGTTTGACACCTTGATGTTGAGCCCAGAGTTGCAAGAATCCATAGACTCCATGATTGGAAGACTGAAAAGCCTCAACCCCAATTCAAAAGGACGATTTGTTGCGGTGGACTATAAGGTTGTTGAAACCATACCAGAAAATACCGAGTGTCCTCTTGACAACGCAACTGGAATCAAACATTGCTTTGATGCAAAGGAGATAGCCCATTTTCTAAAGAAGATTGGTTTTCAAAATGAAACAACTATTTATTTGACTCTAAATGGCTGGCACACAAGTATTGAGCATCTTAGAGACATTTTTCCTAACACCTTTACCAAGGTACGTGAATTTTAATTTATGTTGTTTATCTTACTCCAAAAATGATCCATCATTCGATAATTATTATTGGACGGAGGCCAATGAAAGGTCAAATCCACCACCAGGTCGCTAGATGATTATGGGACTGCGAAGGCCTGATGGGTTAAGTTCAACACCATGCCTCTCGAAAATGGGACAATAAATAAGGAAATAAAATTGAACTAACCATCAATTCGCTGCTAGTTATAACTTTAAAGAGTAAAAATTGTACAATTAAAGAGCAAAAACTATGTAGTTTGGGCAAAAGCCTGAAGGGCTAAGTCCAGCACCCTGCCTCTTGAAAATGTGGCAGTATATAAGGAAATATAATAGTTGTGCCTTCGCTACAAGCTATATATAGTGGGATTGTTGGCGTAATGGCCTGGTAAGTGTTTGATCCTAATAAATATACTGTTTTGTTGCAATAGGATGCAATCGTTCCAGCAGACGAGAAGTCGAAGTTCCTGGATCCTGAAAGAACTGAACTCAAACAGATTGTAGATTTTTATGTATCATCTGCAGCTGATGTTTATGTCCCAATATCTTCAAATTTGTTTTCTGACAACGTTGTTGCAAGGAGAATCGCCACTGGAAAAACACAAGTTCTTGTGCCGGCCAACAGATCTTCACTTACAGCAAAGGACTATGTTCCTCCCTACATATCAGAGAAGAAACATTGGGCATACTCATGCTTTTGTTGATAAATAAATCACAAATCAAATAATGCATGGATGGCAGAATGGATAAATCAAGATTGATTATTGAAAGTTTCACAAACTATCATACTTGTAAATCAAACCAAAAAAAATTCTAAGAGTATTAAGTGTTTTATTTGGGGAATTGTTATACCAATGTTTAAATTTTGTGATTAGATATGTTAATTATTCAGAATAAATATATATTATTATAATAAACATTTATATTCACTAATAAATTAAAATTTTAATTTACTTATCCTTAACATTATCATACTTGTAAAGCTTGAAATGCTATGTACTAAAAACAAGATAGTCAACCCTAGGGTGTGGTTGAGTGCAAGGGACTCATCCATCCTTAACCAAGCCGTAAGGGTTCGATCATTGGTTTTATGTATGGAGCAACCTTAAAAAAGTCCAAATTTAATGTCAAGAGTGGGTGTGCCAGAGTGGTTATCGGGCATGACTAGAAATCATGTGGACTTTGCCCGTGCAGGTTTGAATCCTGCCGCTCACGCTTCTTTGCTGTCACCCAATAGGCAGTATTTGTGAGAAGAATTTAATGTCTAAGTTTCAAGTGATTTGTTTGATTTAGTTCTTCTATCCCAATTTTGTCACCCAATAAGTAGTATTTGGGAACAAAAATCAAAATTTAATGTCAAGAGTGGGTGTGCCAGAGTGGTTATTGGGCATACATGACTAGAAATCATGTGGGTTTTGCTCGCGCAGGTTTGAATCCTGTCGCTCACGTAGCTTTGTTGTCACCCAATAGACAGTATTTGGGAGAAGAATTTAATGTCAAGTTTCAAGTGATTTGTTTTATTTAAATCTTCTACCCCAATTTTGTCACGCAATAAGTAGTATTTGGGAAAAAAGTCAAAATTTAATGTCAAGAGTGGGCGTGCCAGAGTGGTTATCGGGCATGACTAGAAATCATGTGGGTTTTGCCCGCCCAAGTTCGAATCTTGCCGCTCACGTTCAATCTTTGTCGTTGTCACCCAATTGGGAGAAGAATTTAATGTTTTAAGTGATTGGGGGCAAATTATTGTATGAAGTAATGAATATTAGGTACATTTTTAATATATTAAAAGTACATTATTTTTGTACTCTGAAAGTACATTATTTTTGTACTGAAGGTACATTATATAAAATAATGTACCCTTAGTATATTAAAAATGTACTTTCAGAAAATGTATCTTACATACATAAATAATGTACCCTTAGTATATTAAAAATGTACTTTTTATTTATGGTCCACACAATTGTGTGGACCATGGTCCATGCAATAATAATTGAGTGATTTGTGTGATTTAGTTTTTCTACTCTTTTGTCACCCAAATTTAGTTCTTCTACTCCAATTTTGTCACCCAATAAGAAGTATTCGAGAGAAGAATTTAATGTCAAGTTTCAAGTGATTTGTTCAATTTAGTTGATGTGGTGCTAACATCATATTTACCTAACTTATATATTATTGTATAAATATTTAAATTTAATTATTTTTACCACCAATATATTACAATGACCTCTTGTATAGACTATAGAGAAGGCACTCACTACCACTAGTCCACTATACCACTCCCTTATCTTGCTAATTCATTGTAAAGAATGATTAAATGTCATTATAAAATGAGATTTGTATAAAATTTTAGTTGTATTAAAAAAGTTTCATAAAATTTAGAAAAAATTGATAAGTAATTTTTTTTTTAAATTTATATTAGTAAAAAATTAATAATGACGAGAAATTTTCAATATTTTAATTTATTATCGTCTATAATATTTTAATAATGGATATTTTTATATTTTGTACTCCATACATATTACTTATTAGTTTATCAAAATATTAACATTAATAACTTTTTATTTATGGATTGCAAATGTTAATTTGAATAAATTAAGTCACGTGTATTTTAATGTGAATTAAAAAAAATGGTAAAAAATCTAAATAAATTAAAATATTAAAATTTAATCTTCATTTTTATTCTTTTTTATCAATATAGGTTAAATTAATTTTTGTATCAATATATTATTTTTCCAATTAAACTTCTTAATTCAACTAAAATTTTCTACAAAACCCATTAAAATGGGATTTAATCATTCTTTACAATGAAAGAATAAGATAAGAGCGTTGTAAAGTGGGAGTGAGTGCATTCTTTACACAAGAGGTTGGTATTCAAATTTCAATGTGAGCATATATGTATTTATTTTGGACATATATAATGTAATATACTAGTGATAAAAATAATTAATTTTAAATATTTATAAAATAATATATGAGTTGACATGTAAGTATGATGACGTGTCAAAAATAATGTCAGCACTACTTTTTAAAGTACAAGGACCAATGAACCTTAGCTTAATTGGATTATATTGTTTTAATTTGTTGCAATCAATATAGGATGCAATCGTTCCAGCAAATGAGAAGTCCAAGTTTCTCTGGATCCTAGAAGACCAGAATTGAAGCAAATTATAGACTTTTATGTATCTTCTGCAGCTGATGCTTATGTACCAACATGATCAAATGAGTTTTCTGAGAATGTGATTGCAGGAAAATCGGCACTGGGAAAACGCAAGTTCTTGTGCCCACCAACAAATCTTCGCTTTCAGCAGAAGACTATATTCCTCCTTACATATCCATGAGCAAACATTGGGCGTACTCATGCTTTTGCTCATAATTCACAAATCAAATAATGAAGGATGCATGGGGGGAATGAATAAATTAAGATTGGTTGAAAGTTTCGCATACTATTGCGCCTTGTAAACCAATCAAGATTGGTTGAAAGTTTCGCATACTATTGCGCCTTGTAAACCAATCAAAAGTGTAATAAGTGTTTCATAATAAATATGTATAGTAATAAACGAACTCTTATATTGAGTAAGAGCATCCCTAATAATAGACAATTAATTTTTGGTGGTTTTTGTCAAGACAACACAGAAAAAAAAAAAAAAAAGAGGGAAGAGGAAAAAAAAATGTAAATGATTCCGGGCACCGCGCGTTCAGGAGATGTGCTGCACACGCAAGACTTATGCATATGTGCCTTAATTTTGCCTTCTTTTCTCTCTCCTCTGGGCCCACAAAAAACCTACATTGCAAGAGAAAAAACCCTAAAAAAATCACCCCTCCCATTTGTTAAAAATCAACCCATTAATTTGTTACTGTTCCAAAAATCACCAAAAGTGCAGCATAATTGTGGATGTTTTAAGAATTTAAAATTATAATTTACTTTATTGACGTGCATACTTTAGATTATCAAACATATAAAGCTTAAAATATTCTGTATTGCTCGTGATTTAATGAATTAATTCTTTGTCCTAAAAAAAATACTCTGTACTAAAAAGGATAGTTATCAAGTCATCGGGTTTGAACATACTCGAAACTTAGCCCAAGCCCACGTCCCTCCAATGTCCCCTTGTCAATGTTTTAAAATCATTAGTTTTTGTTAGGAAGAAAGTGCAAATTAGATTAGGATTGAAAAAAGGCTGCACTCCGACCCGACAGAGCATTTGGGAGGATGTAAATCATGGTAACTCAACTGAACATGGCTAGATTGGTGCTCACTGCGCACAAGCAACCCCCCTCACTCTGAGAGGTAGCTTCCACACTGCTGCTGGTGAGACTCGATCCCTAGTCATTCTTCCAAAGTTTCACCTCTGTGACCAGTTGAGCTACCCATGCGGGTTCCAATTTCACAAGTAGTGATCAAAGCTAAGTTCTTTTTTACTTACTCTTCAATTCATTTACTTCAATTCAATTGTGCTTGCAATGCCTTCAATTTTCTTTTGTTTTTGCTTTTCAATTCACAACACGATTAGGTAGACCTCATTAGGGATTTGGATTGAGTTAACGCTTGTTATGAATGCTTGAGTGTATTCAATTGAAAAAAGGATGATGTAGTGAATTAGTTAGAGTTCTTGTTGTTGTGTGTTTTGTATGGACTCTAGTATAATTAGGACCTGATTACACAAGAAGATCATGGATGTGTGTTGTTGCTATGAAAATGAGACAACACTATAGTCACACTTGCTTTGAGAAAAAGAGGTCGGAAGAAGATGTGAACATTATGTGTTTGATAAATTACTCCAATTAGATTGAATTGCAATGAGAATGAGATTCAATGCTAATTGGTAGTCTAAAATGGTCATGAGAATGGCATTGACACTTAGTAACATCTTCCTTGATCCTTGATTAAATCCTTACATGATCCTTATCATAGGCATTAGGCAACTCTATGGCATCTAGGTAAGAGTGGCTTAGTCCAAGCTCCCACTTTCAGCTTGTTAATTTTTTTGCTTATTACTTTGTATTTCATTGAATTGATCTTGTATGACTCACAAACTTACTACTCGAGCTAGATTATAAACATTCGATACTTTTGTGATTAACCACTTACTATTCAACACATATTTGGTCCACTCCTCATGACGATATCCGCTCTGGCCTGTGACCCTCACAAAGACACACACACACACACACCAAACGTACCACTAAAACCAACCTATCACTAATATTTGGGGATATAGACTGATTCCCAAATTAAAGTTTATTATAGTCTTTTAACGTTAATATCAAATATTAAAATCAAAACATTAAGTTGGCATGTAAGTATGATTATGTGACAGAAATGATGTCATCACTATTTTTTAAAGTACAAGGACTAAAGAACCTTAGCTTAATAATTCGATTATATTGTTTTAATTTGTTGCAATCAATATAGGATGCAATCGTTCCAGCAGATGAGAAGTCCAAGTTTCTGGATCCTGGAAGACCAGAATTGAAGCAAATTATAGACTTTTATGTATCTTCTGCACATGATGTTTATGTACCAACATGGTCAAATGTGTTTTCTGAGAATGTGATTGCAAGGAGAATCGGCATTGGGAAAACGCAAGTTCTTGTGCCCACCAACAGATCTTCGCTTTCTGCAGAAGACTATATTCCTCTTTACATATCCAAGAGCAAATATTGGGCGTACTCATGCTTGTGTTCATAAATCACAAATCAAATAATGAATGATGGATGCATGGGGGAATGAATAAATCAAGATTGGTTGAAAGTTTCGAATACTATTGCGCCTTGTAAACCAATAAAAAGTGTAATAAGAGTTTAAGTTTTTTACTTAATTGGGAATTGTTTATAGTTTATACCAAAGTTTACTATTTTTTAAATTTTATTTTATATTAAAGTATGTTATTAAGAATAAATATGTATAATAATAAACAAACTCTTATATTGAGTAAGAGCATCATATCCCTAATGATAGGCAATCTTTGGTGGTTTTTGTCCAGACAACAAGGAAAGAGAAAAAAAGAGGAAAGAGGGAAGAGGGAAGAGGGAAGAGGGGATAAAAAAAAAAAAAGCAAAAAAATAAAAAATGATTTCGAGCGGCGCGCGTGCAGGAGATGTGCTGCACACACGAGACTTGTGCCTTAATTTTGCCTTCCTTTCATTGAAGAAGGACCAATCACTAAGATCTGAGAAGAGAAAGAAGGAGAATCTGTGAGTAGAAATATGACATATGACTTGAGGCACATACTTTCCGGCTTTCTGACCACCTCAATGCTTCTCATGTTATGTAATATGATCAAGAAAGATCATATTGACCCACTGTTGGTATATGTTTTACTTTTTTCGCTCAATTTATTTTTCATTAATATTCTTCAATGGTATAACATATCAAGTTTTTTTTTTTTTTTTTTTTTTTTTTTTTTTTTTTTTTTACCATATCATTTTTATTTTATTACATTCATATATGTATTTCCATATACACATTTATCAATGTTGTGCAACTTTTTGTTTTTGACTTATACATGGCTAGTTATATACACATTTATCAGTGTTGTGCAACTTTTTGTTTTTAACTTATATATGGCTAGTTGATTTGATCCCTCAAAAGTAATGTCTATTAAAATGGTCCTTATTAGAGGTGTAAATTTTGTACAATTTATTATGGGCTCTTATCATAATCATAGGAAAATATATTCTAATAAAAGGAATTTTTTCATCTTTTCATTTTTATTAATTAGTTGAATTTTTCAGTAACTGGCCCTGGGTTACAAATGTGTGCATAACTAAGCAAGTAAAAGGTAATATTTTTCGTTTATAAAAAAATCGTATTTTTTCATATAATACCTACCTATAATCTTAATATATTTAAAGATAAGAGAAAATAGTGATTGACAAATAAATAAATAAAATTGAGCAAAGAATCAAAATCACACAAAAATGTCAGATCTCAGGTCTAGTTTTGTAAATTTTAATTACTGATGACCAAATCGACTAACAGTAAACAGTCCATACATCAAAACTTAAAAATGCTATTGTCTGACTAAAGAATATATAATTTAAAAATTGAAATGTGACTAAAATAAGAAAAAATTTGAGCTACAACATATTAAATGCTGTTTGAATTTTCTTGTATGTTTCATTATTTTTCATTTCCATTTTTGTGGTTAATACCAATACATATTTTTTGTTTGTATATTTATTGATAGGGTGATTTCTCAACACAACCAATCACTCCAATCAATGTGACACAATCTTCTTCTGGTAATGGACGACTCCTTACCTCATCTGATCCTTAGGAAGTAAACAAAAGTATAGAAGTATTAAACCCTTGCTGGAGAAAATCAACAAATTGTAAGTACTTGGAAAAAATTATATATGTTAATTATATATATTTTTTGAAAGTCAAAAATCGATGGTAGATTATATTACTGCATAAGATCATAAATAGAGTTAGGTGGGACAGAGTCCCAATACAGCGCGTTAGTCTGTGAATAGGCTATCGAAACTAGAGTGTGAGTTAGTACTTGGAAATAATTATGTATGTTAATTATATATTTAATCCTCGATCAACTTCATTTACATTCCTAGCTAGTATGTGTATAGTATTTGTAATTTACAAAATTAAATCATATATGTTTTGTTTTATGATGGATTACTAACTTGTTTTTTATCTATCAATTATGATGATCAAAATTTCAACTTTTAGATCTTCACTATGTATTTATCAAATCATAATAGGTTTACTTTTTAAATTAAGAAAAGTTAATTCAAAACATTTTAAATATCCTCAGTTTTGAACGATTCACCAAACTTTACCTATCTACAAATGTAATGTAGATATTTTGGATTGAATCAAAATGTCAAAAAATAAAATAAATTTGGTCATATTAATAGTTAATGATGAAAAGTGTAAATGTAATTATGATTATAATTGAGGATGGAAAAAAATAGTATGTAGTATTAACTTTTACACCTAATAGGTTGGAACTTCCGACCAACTTTCCGTCCACCTATCTTCAGCTACAGAAAGTTGAATTTTTTATTAAAATATCGACCAATTAATGGTTGGACGGAAATGTTGGACAGAAATGGCATGGTTTCCAGCGGTCATGTTTGGGTACATTTGACACCCTGATGTTGAGACCAGAGTTGCAAGAATCCATAGACTCCATGATTGGAAGACTGAAAAGCCTCAACCCCAATTCAGAAGGACGATTCGTTGTGGTGGACTATAAGGTTGTTGAAGCCATGCCAGCAGGAATTAGAAGTAGCAGCTGTGATGCTAATGAGCTTCTTTATGAAGAAGATTGGTTTTGAAAATGAAACAACTGTTTATTTTTCTCTAAATGGCTGGTACACAAGCATTGAGCATTTCAGAAACATATTTCCTAACACCTTCACGGCTTCACCATGGTATGTATGTGAAATTTATGGTTTTCATTTTACTCCCAAATGAACCTTAATTCGATTATATTATATTGTTTTGTTGCAATATACAGGATGCAATCGTTCCACCAGAAGAGAAGTCCAAGTTTTTGGATCCTGAAAGACCAGAATTGAAGCAAATTATGGACTTTTATGTATCTTCGACAGCTGATGTTTATGTACCAACATGGTCAAATGTGTTTTCTGAGAATGTGATTGCAAGGAGAATCGACACTGGGAAAACGCAAGTTCTTGTGCCCACCAACAGATCTTCGCTTTTTGCAGAAGACTATATTCCTCCTTACATATCCAAGAGCAAACATTGGGCGTACTCATGCTTTTGTTCATAATTCACAAATCAAATAATGAAGGATGCATGGGGGAATGAATAAATTAAGATTGGTTGAAAGTTTCGCATACTATTGCGCCTTAGCTTGTAAATCAATCAAAAGTATAATAAGTGTTTTACTTAGGGAAGTGTTTATACCAAAGTTTATTATTATTATTATTATTATTATTATTATTATTATTATTAAAGATGTGTTATTCAGAATAAATATGTATAATAATAAACGAACTCTTATATTGAGTAAGAGCATCCCTAATAATAGGCAAGCTTTGGTGGTTTTTGTCAAGAACGGAAAGAGAAAGGAGAGGGAAAAGGAAAAAAAGCAAAAAAAAAAAAAAACAAAATAAAAATAAAAATAAAAACAAAAACCAATGATTCTGGGCACAGCACGTGCAGGAGATGTGCTGCACACGCCTGACTTATGTCTTAATTTTACAGGAGAAAAAAATCCTCAAAACACCATCCTTCCCATTTGTTAAAAATTAGCCCATTGATTTGTTACTGTTCCAAAAATCACCAAAAGTGCATTGTTCTGGATGTTCTAAGAATTTAAAATTATAATTTACTTGATTGACGTGCATACTTAATATTATCAAACTTAACTTGTAAAGCTTAAGATACTCTATACTAAAAATGATAGTTATCAAGTCATCGGGTTTGAACATCCTCGAAACCTGGCCCTAGCCCATTTCCTTCCAATGTCCCCTTGTCAATGTTTAAAATCATTAGTTTTTGTTAGGAAGAAAGTGCAAATTAGATTAAGATAGATGATGCAAAGTTAAAATTCAGTTCATTTTGACGTGAATTGGGGGTATAAATATCTCTAGGCGATCACTATCCATTCTTCCTTCTCTCTCAAGGATTTCCTTGGGGAGAAACTTCTAAACATCATTGCTCCTTGTAATTGTTCTAGATTTAGTGAAGATTTAAAGTGATTTCCAGCTTGTAACTTCATAATACTTCCCTTTCAAGTTTGTATTCTCAGTTTCACAAGTGATCAAAGCTAAGTTCTTTTTTACTTGCTCATCATTTACTTCAATTCAATTGTGCTTGCAATGCCTTCAATTTCTTTTTGTTTTTGCTTTTCAATTCACAACACGATTAGGTAGACCTCATTATGCATTTTGATTGAGTTATCTCTTGTTATGGATGCTTGAGTGAATTCTATACGGAATATATCTTTTAGTAGTATTATATTCTATCTTGGACTCTGTATCTTGTATATCATAGATAGGTCTCTATTGTAATCTTTCAGTCTTCTATTCTCATAAATTCAATTGAAAAAAGATGATGAAGAGTAATGAATTAGTTAGAGTTCTTGTTGTGACGAGTAAGTGTTTTGTATGGACTTTTGTATAATTAGGACCTAATAATTACACAAGAAGATCATGGATGTGTGTTGTTGCTATGAAAATGAGGCAACACGCTATAGCCACACTACTCACATTTCCAATCTTGCTTTGAGAAAAAGAGGTTGGAAAAAGATGTGAATATTATGTGTTTGATAAATTACTCCAATTAGATTGAATTGCAATGAGAACTAGATTCAATGCTAATTGTTAGTCCAAAATTGTTGTAACACCCCCAAAACTAGGCAAACATTAAGCAATTAAATTTAAGAAATAAAGACAACATCTAACCATCATCATATAAAAATCCAGCTGAAACTAATCATTTTATGATATGAGTCTAATTGTGTAAAATTATTCTATTAATTTGTTTATATTTGTTGGGCTTAAGTTCATAATTTTAGTAATTTAATTGCATAATCCCTTGTTTTATCATTTAGTTATGGTTCACACTTTAGGACAAATTTCCCACACTCTGACCCGACAAAGCATATGGGAGGATGTAAATCACGGTGACTCAATGAGTTAGTTGACAGGGCCAAATGCCGGTGCGCACAAGGAATCTGCCCACTTTGGACATAATTTCCACACTGCCGCCGCCGAAGTTCGAACCTTGGTCTCTTATCCCAAATACTGCCCACTAAACCATTGAGCTAAGCCCGTGCGGGTATGGTGATAATTTCCTAATCATATGGGTTGCATGCATTATTATCCAAATCCAAATAAGA